TTTAGACCAAGCTGCGCTCACTCGGGAGGTTACTTCAGAGACAGGGCTACCATCGACAGCGATTCGCCTCGAACCAAGGTACTTGGAATGATGTTCTTCGCGATGAGCTCAGTACCATTACACTTCAATTAGAGCCTGGCTCACTTGAACCGAGTGGTCAAGCTACTCTGGTCTTGGGCTTCACGTTCAGCCTGTAGATCCAAACATCCCAGCCACGACGCATTCCTTCCGGACCAGGTTTTGCACCTTGTTTCTCGGAGCCACCGATTGTTTGTACTTCTCAGGCGAGGCCCATGGCACTCTCGTCAGCCCTACAGGAAGCGTCCATGGAAGCGCGCTTCGCGCCCTGCAAGATCACGCGAAGGCATCCCACTATACCGACAATAATAGGTAGTGGGAAAGCGCCAGAGCCTTGGTGCACCACGCGACCGAGATGGGAAATTCCATCGACCATTGCAAGTTAGCCTGCCCCAGCCTGTCTTGCACCCGACTCCGTTTCGAGTTTCGACGTAGAAGTATGCGCAACCCTATCTCACATTTGCAAGGCGCGCTCTGGAACGTCGCCCTCCTGTTGCCATAAGGCATACCAATAAACTTCTCGAGGAACGCGATCCAAAAAGCCTTCGCCACTGGTCCAGGAAGGCCAAGATGCCACAGCTTTTGTGTGGTGTTCGCGATGTCTTTCCAGCAGGAGTGGGCGTGCTGGTATTGCATCGATGGAACTGCGCAGCCCCTGACACAACTTCCACACTGCGTTGATCGCGAACAAGCTGCACAGGGTGATTCGATACGGCGGTCACAATTCCGCCAAGAAAGATCTTTCATGCTGCTGCGAGAGCAGGTGCGGATTGGACGGCTAAACTCGTAACTCAGTCAGCCAGGGCTCTGACTCTTCTTCCAAATCGGAATCGTGGTTGTGCCTCTGTGCCAAGCTCTCAGGCACTTTCTGTCTGCTACGATCTGGTTGAACAAACCGGTGGCCAACCATTCAGAGGACCCAGCATTACGACTTCCATATGTGCGCCGCCAGAATCATCGGGTCCTGTAGCCTTGTCCCGACTTCATCTTCTTCAGAGGCCATTTCCGTTTCCTCCTACGGTTTATTCTCTTGCACAGGACCCTTCCTTGCACAGGTGGAACATAAGGGACGCTGGATGCGGCAAACTCTTTTTAGCTCGGAGATGGTTCTCGAAATAATCAGCTGCACGCCTCTCACTCGCCTTTTTTCTTTGCGGCCGGCAGGACTGGCTCCCTCCTCTCGTCGTTTGATGCCGGAATAAACTTCCTCGATATCGCTCGTCGACCTCGGCGAATGTCAAAAGGGCTTTGGCCGGAGGCGCGATTAAATATACGGCCGTTGCCCACCATCCGCGCCGCTCTGCGAGCCTCTCTCAGCTGTCTGAGCTTCAGCAAAGTGTGGTCAGCGGTTATTTGCGGCTCAAGCAACGCCTTCTTTGTTCGCACTCTTAGCCTGCCATCGAACCTCCCGCCAGGCACGCTCTCGATTCAGACAGTCTATTACGCGAAGACAACTACCTTTCTGGTCTATAATGCCCCATCTTCTTCTGCACTTGCTACATTTTTCTTTCCAACGAATCGTCTCGTTCCATGCTGACTACTGACTTGCCTTGCCTCGATCTCCGTCGGGCAGCCGGTGTTTGGTACTGTGCCAGTTTCGGCCGATACGGGCCCCCAGAACGAATTATTGCCTGCTAGCAGACACTTTTCCAATTTCTACCACGATCCAACCCGACGTAGGCTGACCTTGCCCGGCATAAGCTTGAAAACTGAATCCTCCGGTCGTTCCTCAGAGGTGGGGGACGGAAATCCCTGTTAAATTTATTGTGTCAGAACGACTTGGCACGTCTTCTGGTCATTTTTAAACGCACAATCGATCACATTGGACATTCAATACAATATTTGACAACATAGCCCGTTCATTCAGGACAATTCCCTATTTCGCGACGAAGACCCAGGAAAAATTTGACAGGGGGATCTTACGCGGTCCCCCCAACCCCTGGGTGACTAGGATTTGAATACCCGCACTCCATAGCGACTTCAGTGGTCCAACTGTCACCCAAAAAAGGCTGCAGGGTGACGTCTTGAGAGTGGAGTAATCATAATCACACCGTCCTCCTCGCGCTTTTCTTTCTGCAATTACTGTTTCACTGACCTCAGGTTTCGCCTAAAGAAAACCCGTTTAGGGGTAGTGAGCCCTCGAATACGACATATCCGTGTCCTGTCGGCACGCATAGTTGGTTGCCACCCCGCGCTCAACACGCATGCACCTTGCCACGTACCGGCCTACCATGGACTCCTCACATGGCAAGTTCAGGGTGCTTAAACATGAAAGGCGGATCCGCGCCTACCATTGCCACGAAAGCCTTTCAGCAGAGAGCCTATCGGGGTGGATGTTAGCCGGCGGCGACCCAGTGCAAAAATAACGGATTTTAGAAGGGCTTTTTAGCCGATACTTGACAAGAAAAGTCAAAACACCCAAAACCTGGTAAAGCGTGGTTGCTCCCTCAACTGTCCATAACCAGCCCCACACCCCTTAAGCCAGTGAGGTGACAGCAATGTGATCGCTTAGCATACTGCTCGCTAGCCGCTCAAGGCTCACGCACGGAGTGCCTTCCGGAAATTCTGCCCTTTCGATATCTTCATAACTGCAGGCTAACAGATCGCAGGCAAGACAATTGAGAATCCAACGGGGCCATCCAGTGGCGATCAACAACATAAAGCCCCCCACCCGAACTCCCTTGCTACGCAGGGGGCGAGGTCAGCCAACCGCTAATGATTTGCAGATTTTAAGTTACACCGCCGCTCTCTCATGGCTGCGCGTACAGAAATGTGCACCGCTACATATTTACTAGCCAGGGTTTACTTAGATGTACCTATCCTTCCCGTTAGTCCACCTTCGATAAGGGTCAGGAAGACTCGGAGAAAGCACTCGGGTGTAGTACAACAGAATGTAAAACGATCCGCGAAGGGTAGTGGTGCCCCACAGCTAGCGATCAAGGAAGATCGCAAGGATCGTTAGCAGAACGTAAACGACAAGGGCTGCAATGCTCCTTCCCTTTCACCTATAGTGCACAACTGATTATGATTCGCTGCAATCCTTCACTGGAAAGGAAATAACAATGCAAAGATTTTCAACTCTTTTGGACCTGAATTCTTTCCGTAGAGAATTTTTTCTTCCAGCTATTGTTTATTACTTGAGAGCTCATAAATATCATTATAGCGAAATTTGGAAGCTGTTCGATCACAAACTAATAAACTAGGATGTTTTGAAAACTGGCCATCTTTCTTAGTTTTTGAGCCTATGCCGGAATATACCGCCCCAGATGATCCGCCCCAGATTGATACCGCCCCAGATGTTCCTCTACCTGCACGCACAGGGAGCAGTCTGCTCCTCTTATATACTCGGTTCTACAACTCTGACAACGTATCGAGTAGATTCTCACCTTCATGCAGTCACCTTCTTTGCAACAAGGGCATCCGTGTTGCTTGTAATACTATGAGCCCGGCTATGCTCAATTTGTTAGAGCCTACTTTGACATGCGCAGTAGCTAGCGAATCCAAACTGATTTTTATTATGGCAAAAACGTCTCCTTCGCCACTGACATTTTTGCCATAATTCTTGTTAAACTTGATGTTTTGGCTGGTATTAGGCTGCTTCCATACTTCGCTCCGCTGCGGTCGGTGCAGTCGCTGCCAACCGCACCGACAGTGCGAAGAGCGTCAATACACGCTCTGGCGCATGACACGTACGCTGGGCGCAGATCGCGCGCTCCGATCGATAATCCTGGTTTTGGTGTATTTCTTGTCTTTTTCTATGTTTTTTTTTGCGCCGTGTTGCTTTTGTTCGTCTGTTATCTGCTCATGCTTATTCTTTATGTCTCGTTTCATACTTTTCAGTTGTTCCGCGGATGAGCGACTTCGTAGAACCCCATTGTACTACCCGGGTGAAAGTGGCTGTACCGAGTGAGTTCATCATAAGCAATTTTGCTTATTCGAGTGGACTCTATAACTTTTAAAAGCTGCTTTTTCTTCGATACGATTTCCAGCTGGTCTGCGAAAGGCCGCCGGATCTGGTAATTTAATATTTGCACGCCAGTAGGAAATCGTATCGAAGAGAAAGCAACTATTGGAAACATACAGTTCACTCGAATAAACAAAATTGCTCATGATGAACTCACAGAGTCTTGAAGCCACTTTCACACAGGGTTGTATGACGTCGCTCGTCCGCGAAACAACTGAAAAGTATTCATCAAGACATGAAAGAATAAGCATGAGCAGATAACACACGAATAAAAGCAACGCGGCGCAAAAAAACATCAAAAAAGACAAGAAATACACCAAAATCAGGATTATCGATCGGAGCGCGCGATCTGCGCCCAACGTACGCATCATGCACCAGAGCGGGTATTGGCGCTCTTCGCACTGTCGGTGCGATCGGCGCCGTCGGTACCGACCGCACCGGCCGCACCGGCGCGACGTATGAAAGCAGCCTTAGGCATTTTTCCAGGCCTGTTGAGCCAATGCACAAGATGCGCAAAGGCAGGCGATCAATTCTTGACAATGGGAATGACTTCTTTTCGAAAATCTGCGAACGTATTTTTTAGCTAGCATTTCCGTTTTACGACTATTTCCTATTTGTTCTTTTTGTTAGTAGTCGTATGTTAGTGTAGAGAGACGTTAATCTCGTGATAATACGCTGAACTGAATAGAAGGATTTTCTCGAAATTCAGTTGTGGAAACTTTGTATCATTAACAATGGTGACATGTCGAGAAATCAGCCAAAATATCATTCATAACGTGAGTTAAGGCAAAAAGAACTACGGTGATTTCTTTTACGGCACTGTATAGGATAAACCAATCGTGCGGCGTACCACACCGCTTGCGTCACATATGGGGAAGAAACCGATGTTGTTTACTTGGCAGAAGTTTATAAATGGATCGCTAGTGGCATGCAGCTGCCTGAAATATTCCACAGTCCAATGTCGAGTTTGTTTTCAGTGAAGCGAGTGGAGCAGAGCACAGGAGAGTCACAGAAGAGTGTCCATTATCGTTTTTTATGGGTTCCTCGTTATAGGCTTTTTTGGGCAATGGTCACTGCTTCCTCATGAGAATTCTCATGGGCTAGTGGTCATAAAAAAGGAACAGAATCAGTAGGACGTTCGGCGTGGAGTACGCTCTAAAATTTGTCGATTACGCTCTGAAATTTGTCGACTTATTTGAAGGATCTTTGTTAACAATCGTGCAAGTTGGAAGTTTAACAAATCATTATCAACACATTCACAACGGCGCCATTTCTCACTTTTTGGTGGAACGGGCACGATTGTGTAGCTGCCTCACCTCACATCCGTAAATTTTCTGCCACTTCGAATTGTTGAAGTTAATTGCAATCGTTTCCAGTATCGAGAGTAAACACGAAGTGAACATAACTGGTGGTCTCAATGAATTCAACGTCAAGTTCTACGGCCCTTCCGGGAGTGAGTCAGACTTCAATTTCTGTTGTTTTAAAAAATGTTCAGTCATTTCCCTATCCGCTATCACTTTTTTCCGAAATATAGGCACTGAATTGTACCATCTTCATCAGGGACATTCTATTATAAGATATTGCAATTTATCTACATATTTAGCTGCTTACGAAGGTGGCGTCTGGCGAGTCCGTGTCGAACTGCCTGAGAAGTACCCATTCAAATCGCCCTCGATAGGTTTCATGAATAAAATTTTTCATCCGAATATCGACGAAGCGAGTGGCTCTGTTTGCCTCGACGTCATCAATCAGGTACATAGCATGTGAAGTATTTATGTTTTTGTAATTTTTTTCTATCTGCGTTTCAGTCTAGTGGACCGTAGTATACTTTATTCAGGCATGGACAGCCCTGTACGATCTAGCAAATATATTTGAATCATTCCTTCCACAACTACTCACCTACCCTAATCCAACTGATCCATTAAACGGCGATGCCGCTGCCCTTTATCTGCATAAGCCGGAGGAGTTCAAGAAGAAGTGCAAGGGTATGTATTCATTACATCTTTTGGAAGTAGTGGAAAGCGTAAGATCTGTAAACACAGCACTTGTTTGACTAGAATGGAAGGCGAGTTATCATATTCAAATATGCATCTAAATTGGTGCCACTCTTCATAACTAGTTAATGCGAATAGGGGGCATCCTACGCCAAACGTGGCGGGCGAGGAGTGCTGCGCGCGATTAATGGAGCGACTTCTAAGCTGGTTCTTCTCTTCTCCTACTTGGCCGGCAATGCTGAATACCACTTGGCCCCCAAAGAACTCGCTGAACTAAGTCCCAAACCATAACGCACAATTTAAAATTGTTTACTCCGAGCACTGACATCGACTGGCTCGTATTCCATAGACGATGCATCACTAGTGAGTGCCTAAGGTGTTGTCTTGTTACACTCAGATACCGTAACAGCTATATTTGCGTTACTTACTGAACTAGAAGCTATCGCGTTGAATAGTTTGTTAGTAAGAAGTAGCTTAACCCATAACGGACGGCCAGTGTATTTGTTACGTGCCACACAGGGTAGGGTTTGTAGGCTTATGCGAACAACAGGGTTAAGACGGGGCTAAAGTAGGTGTCCTTGTATCATTACCCAAAAGAAGGTATTTCCGTTGACGACAACTTCGTAACCCACCTTTCCGCTTCAAAATAGAGTGCAAGGAATGAATGGAAGCTGCAGGTGAAATCATGGAAAAATGTGGAACAACAACCCCGAACAAGGATGTGGCTATATTTAGGGCAAAGGGTTTGGGACAAATGAACCATCTGTAAGCCATCCATCAGATAGTAAGCTCATGAGAATTCAGACAAAGTGTATGTAAAATTTATTGTAGGTTTGTCAAAAATCCACTCGTCCAGCTGGGAAGATATATTATTCCACATTGCTGAGAGTATATGTGGGTATATGAAGATTGTTGGAAACGTAACAAAAAAAAGAAATAGTCGTGCGCCACCATGTGGCGCACGCCGTCCGTTATGGGTTAGCAATCGTGTCAAACCTATCCCCGTGGGTGCATGTTACCTATGTCGCGCTGGTTGGGAGTGGTGCTCGACAAACCGGAGGGACTTCTGTGCTAGTGTTCCAGCATCCAGCAAAACAGTGAATTATTGACTGTTTAGTTATAAGGGCCTATGTCCTAGGTAGTAGCTACAGCATTACCAGGCGGGACGAAGGTCGATTTCTCTCTGAGGAAGGAACGGTGCAGACGTTAGGAGGTTTAGTAGGGACTTCTGAACTAGGGCAATGTGTGTCGGAATAGCTAGTTGGGCCAGCAGGAAGAGATGCTGAACTGCACTGAACGATAGGAAATCGATAGCAAAGCTATCTTTCTGAGGAAGGATACTAAGTCGAAGTGGCCACTTGTAACGAGACATAAACGACTAGATGTGTTTTTGGACAGACCTGGAGTCTGCTCTTCAAATCTGCGGAAGGATTCTTTGAACGTACTTGTAAAGCGAGATCGTGCAGTAGCAGTGGCCCGGCTCAAAGAGCAAGTGGTCTTGAGTTCAAGTTTATGGCGAATTCTCACTTTTACTTTTTTTTTTCGAGAACGTTGGTCTTATTCATGCTACGCCATCAGCGATTGCCTATATCACAAATGAAAAGAGTTGGCGAATAACTTCGAACACTGTGCGCGTCTTCTGCAAATGGCCGCTTCTGACACCCATAGCGCACGCGTCAGGCAATTTCGTGCCAAACAGAGGTGATCTTCTTGTTCAGCGCGTCGAGGTACTCCTTTCAACAACTTTTGGTCCAATTTAAAGTTTTAACAAAGTCGAAAATTTGGACAGTCATCCATCCATCAACCCATTGTACGAGTCTGATCGCGATGATATTAAACTTTCAATCATTTTTATGAAAGAGATACACGTGTCTGCCTATTTGCTTGCGCCATCCGAAGGTTTATAATTTTTTTCAAGTACACGTTCGCTGCTGTTTATGGTAGGTCACACGAGAGTAGTGGCTAGGGCTAGGGATAACACCAAATGCCAGCTCCCTAGAAGTAAACCCCTAAAGATATTATAGTTTGGTCCGTTGAGCGAGCATATCCCGTTTGTTATCCCATTATCGGAGATCCGTCCCCTTCCGTGGCGTAGAAACACATCGACAGCGGAAGGAAACATTACTATAAAAGGGGTGATGCTTGAAGCAAATCCCTGCAAACACGTATTATTGGGTTGTCTCATAATTCCCGTCTCATTTATATTCAAATTCAAATTTATTTTGTCTGAGACCGTTTCATTCCGAAATACGTTAATATGTTAAAGGGTGCTTCAAGAGCCTCAACTATTTAATATTTATTTATTTACTAATACATCACATGGATGTGTCCACAAAGAGTGTATCAAAGAGAAAAATAAAACACGAAACACAAATTTTGAAGCACACTAGTTTTATGCACAGCTTAAATCCTCTTAACAGGGATGTCATTGGTGGCTCCGGCATCCATAATGAGCCCGAATTATCACTCAGATAATCACTTCGGCACCTCAGTCTATTACAGTTAGTTGTAGGGAAAAACGGCAATCGCATTGTAGCGATCGGGTAGTGGGAGGCGGTGCCCCGTAACTGAGTGGCTCAATCAGAAGTTTCATTACCACATAATATCTCAATATTTTTTTAAGCTATGGAAGCTGTGGTATGGAATCTGGTGTGTTAATCAGAAGATCATCAACAATACATGCGATTCTTTCTCTTCATGACTGCCATTCGAAGTCATTGAGACAGGATCTGTTGCAATTCTGGATCTTTAATATAGATTTAAGCTTGTCTTTTTTCCAAAGAAATTTCCTGGAAGCATTCGAAGTATCTTCACGCAGCGATGAAGAAAGGAGTGGAGAAGCATGTATCTTTTTGTGACGGTGTATAGTATGTCAAATCTAGGACACCCTCCCTCGCAACGCCTGAATACCGTAGTTGGAGAGTCGAATTTTCTTTCGAGTCTCCAAATTTATTGTGAAAATTTTATCATACGTATTTTCTCATTTTTAAACTTTAAAACGTTCTAGGTCTAGCGTTCATCAAACGATTATTTATTTTTATTTAATTGAATGCCGTAGATGCGCTACTGCGAAAAAAAATACGAAACAGTATCAAACGAAACATTGAAGAACACACCGTCTCAAGCAGGGAACAATGCCCCACTCGGCGGTAGAAGTTGTTTACTAAATTCAGTGAATATGAAAGCCTTAGTTGAGCTCAACTTAGGTTAGTGACAAGTGAGGCAATGGAGTCGACATTCAAAAGTCAACGGCGGATGGCGCATGGGAAAACGCTCCTAGCATGGTAAGCGTAGTTGATGAGAATCAGAAAAACTGAATTTCAGGAGTTAGGTATTCCCTACCGCTAACATTCAGCTTCGACCCGCCGAGAGTTCAATTCGAGAGATAACAGAAAAGGTTCTGAGGCAGCATTATGGTTTAGATAATTGGGCTTAAAGGGGTACGTCGCCATAGGATTTTCATGGAAAAATGTTCACCAACTTTTGAAAAACTAGTTCGAAAGTAAAATCAGACAAGGAATCTAATGTAAGTTTTGAACTTTTTTTTATGGTATTAAGAGGCAGAGGATACGAGAGAAAGAAACATATAGGGGAATTAAGCAATTATTCAGGGGGTGGTGGGTGTTTTGTTTAGCTAGCATTTGCGGCCGTTCTGCTCTCAACCGACGGAGCTCATTCCCCTGCGTTAGACGATATGTATTGTCTGCAAGTTACAATAATTTTTTTTTTTTCGAATTAGCTCAGTCAGTTTCAATGAGTCGTGGGATTCCTGAGGATTTTGTAGCAGATCAATATTTTCTTAATCTACTTTGGGTGTTTATGCTATAGACTGAGCCTGGCCGGTGTGTACCTCTACTGGCAGCTTCTGAAGCCACCTCGCTTCACGAATAGAAAAGAGAATTGGAACCCTTGACAGTATGCTTTTTTGTGCAGTTCGGACCATATGATAAAAAAGAGAGCCAAGAGGAGCGCCCTCGACAAGGTCTGAAGACCCAGTAATCACTCCGCGTTTGAGCTTCACTCCTCCTTTGACGTAATTTAAAGCAGAATTTATGTCATGAAACACGCGCCGGTAGAGCAGCGACTTGAGTTTGAGAACGACTAAACGCTCTTATGTAATCCGGCATAGATGTGCGAAAGGCGCGGTATAAGTCACATCTGTATGATAACAGCTCGGTGAAGACTTTTGAACGTTTTTTTTCGATCTTGCTTTGTAGTTTCTTTGGTATGGAATTCATATCTGTGATCCATATTCTAATATGGAACAACAAAGGCTTGTATCAGCCTTCAAAAATGGTGGTAAGTCGGTTGTTGTCCGAATATTTCTGAATATTGCAAAGGTTCGAAAAGCCCTCTGTACAACAGTATTATAATGATGTTTCGAAATTTCTCAACTTGAGTTTACACAGAACCCGAAGGATCAGTTGATTCTCAGACTCGCTGAAGAGTTATGCACTTGAGAGTTATGGGACTCTTTTTGCTTTCCCTAGGGTGAGCTACTGAGGTTTCTGGAGGTTAAAGGATATGTTCCCAAGCCGCAAGCCCACTCCATCTTTTGCAGATGGCCGGGAGCAAGGCGTGTCGTGCACCACTCTGATAGGATTACATGCGTAAGTGCCATACACCTTTATATCATCAGCACAATGTTAGACTTTTACGCTGGATGCACTTTAGTACGCAGTAAGTCATACGTGGTAAGCTAGAAATAAGAGCGGTGATAAAACTCTCCTGCGGGACGCCATAGGCATCAGTTTATCTTTTTCGAAAAAGAGTTCCAACTCTTAACACACTATGTGCCTTTCCATTCAGGTAGCGCTGTCATCCGTTAGCGATAGCGTCACTGACTCCCAGGTGTCGCCAATTTCAAAAGAAGTTTTCATGAGTAACTCTATCAAAAGCTTTAGCATAATCAAAATATATAATGCTCTGACGCCTACATCTCTATTCAACGCCATGCTCCAATCGACGACACAGGCTCATCTGGGGTGCAAGTGAGATGCTGCCCGAGAATGAAGCCGTCGTTGTTCGATCGGAATAATTTGTTTCTACTAAAGTGCCG